GGAGTGATTCGATCCAATCACCTTTTGACGGATGTTACCGAATGCATCACCTTACTAAGTGTTGAGTTTAGAGTTTTCATCTTGTTATATTAAAAATAGCTATCGAATTTCATGTGAAGATGTTTATTAAGTCCAGTAAAAATAGATGAGTAATAAGATGTAGACAAGAACCCACTTCTTTCACTTTTCCGATTAATCAGAGGCAATTGTTATGTTATGTATGGGAAATATTGATCTAGCCAGTTCAAAGAGTACCAGTTTTGTGATTTCTGTTCTGTTTTACCTTATGAGGAAGCTACCTTGGAGGGGCGAAATATGAAATTGATTGTCAAGTTTTTTTTTTTTGTGCTACCAACTTTTTTCTTAAGTATATCCATTCCTTCTTCTTCATGAAAAATTATTCCTATACCAAACATATACACTTATTAATTGTCTAAACTATATTAAAGTATTACTAATATTAACTTCTGCTTGATATTTGACCACTTTTATGCTACTTCTATGCAAACAAAGTAATTACCGTACAGGTTTTGTTTTGGATAATTATTTAAAAAAAAAAAAAAACAGCAAAAAACTCCTATTAATATGAAATAGATCTTTGAAGGGAAATCCTTTTACTTAGTTTGGTTGTGTTTTCATTAATTACACAGCCATTACATAACAGCCACACTTGTTTCAAAAAAATTGATTGCCCCAAAAAGTGTTCACATGACAATATAATTCTACTGTATTTCAATTAGAAAAATTAAATATTCAACACGATATGTCCATTTACAACCAAAATAAAAGGAAAAAAAGAAAAATTGACTCTGCCAAATGCATTAATATGGCTTAAAACAGCACTAAAAACTTTTTAGATCTTTAGACTGATGTATGATTATTAAAAGTGTTAGCCCTTTCTATATTATTATAGAACACAACAACTGTTTTGTATCTAAAAAGAAGCAAAACAGAAGTTATGTACAATACCTATTAAACTCATAATCCTGTCAACTTCCACACAAGAAGGACACCGTTTATTTAAGGTGTGCCCTCAACACCAGCCAATTTACACATATAATTAAGCTTAAAATGGATTTGAGGAGAGCTTGTCTAAAGGTAGAGCTCGGCGCTTCGGAGCCAGAGGTCGCAGGTTGAAAGCCCGCAAATCACCAACGGATTTTATCCATGTGATAATGCCAAAACCCTCTAGGACTAGTGTCAAGTTGTGTGTAAAACAGTTACGGGCATGAACCTAGCATCCTAGGATGTGAAGGTGGGACAAAAAACAACAATATGGATTGCGCATGTACGGGATTTGAACCTGCGCATGTAGAAAGACCTCAACCTTACACTCGTCAGTGCAACACCTTAGCCAATTGAGCTACCATGCCACCATGGTAAATATTGATAATAATAAAATCAAAATCATATGTTGTCTATTCAAATACCTAAAAATTAATAGTTTGTATGAACTGTACGCTGCAAGGTATATGTTGTCTATTGAAATACCTAAAAATTAATAGTTTGTATGAGCTGTACGGTGCAAGTTTGATGAACAATCGACCACAATATGAAATGTGATTTACAAATGACATTAACAAATAGGCCACGAGTTTGTGCCGCAAAATTTTTCTATTTAAAAGATTTTTTTACCATTACCAACATTATCAATTAAAATCATATATTCAGGAATGTGTGAGTTAGGTATTAGATATGGCTAAGGATTATGAGGTTCAGCATCACCCACAGCTATAAATCAAATAAAAACTTTACAAAAAGGATAGAAAAAATTATGACTGTGCTTCACTCTAATGTTTTGTTAGCAAGCGCTTAGCTCGGATATAGGATAGTTGAGGTATTGGTATTACTAATGGATATGTTATTTGAGTATATGACTTTACTAGATTAACACGTTGTGTGCGGCCGTTCCCGATCGGGTACGGTGCTCGGCATCCCTAGGGTGCGTCCGTACCCAATCGGGAACGCTCGGCAATACCTTTCGTATATCTTCATTTTTGCTCTAGCGTCGGTCGAAGGTGGACCTATACCACTTTGGCGTGAATTTTTGTTGTGGTGTAGGTTGGTAGTAAATTTCCCCATAAAATCCCCAGCTTAAAATCAACTTATTGTCCCATCTCTCTCCCTCCTATACAATCACAATGGGACCGGCTTCGTTCCAGGCAGATCTGCTATCTGTGGGTGTTTTAGTGAGCTAGATCGACTCTCGTCGTAAAGCAGGACATTTCCGCACGTTATTTGCTATTCGTCTGAACAAAATTTGAAACCCAATCACCCGGCAATCGGGTTTCTTTGACGCTGCGGGCTTTGCCGCACTGGGGCTACGCCTGCCATTTGATACACTGCAGCGAACGTGTTAATATTTCTCAAATGAATTTAAAGTAAAAAATAACTTTAGATACAAATAATGTAAACTGTTTTACATTGTCCTTTACACAAACAGCCAAAAAGAGTTAGAAAAACTTTAGTTCCAACATTTTTTTTTAGATTGCCAATTGAAATAGAAAATATAACTAATTTTAAATTGTTGACATCTAGGATTAAGCATCGTTATCTAAATGAATCCATTTAAATATTGTTTATTAAATCACTTAATTATTGTTGAAGTTTTAAAATCATTTAATGCACGTTGGTTATTTTTGTGTTGTCATCTCAATGAATCCATTTAAAACTGGTTGAATATTGTTGTTTGAATTACTTGTTGTATAATTACGGTAAAGGTAAATTATTTAATGCATGTTATTTACTGTTGTATTGTTATCTCTGTAATCCATTTTAAATCTGGTTAGATATTGTTGATTAAATTACTTATTATTTTATTGTTAAAGTGAAGAACAATTTAATGCATGTCATTTATTGATATATATTTATTTATTGAAGTTAATTAAGTCTTTTGTTTGAGCTAGTTAGTTTTAGGCTTACATAGAAAGTTGTTTTTGAAAGGTAGAGTTTAAGTGGAAACAACAGTAAAATCAGATATTGACCAGAAACAAGGAAAACCAAAATGGTGATAAGGACTGACCAAAGTAATATAGAACACAAAAATGACATTATCTACTCAATCCTTTTACAGGTATTTGAGAAATCGCTGCATCAAGTTTAAAAACATGGTTGGTTATATTTTTAACTAAAAATAATTCTTTCGTAAGCCAATTTTTAGACTTGGAACCTCTTATATGCATCATCACACTTCATTTACTTTGTACTTGCGCCAAAAAATTTTTGTCACACAGAGTACCAATCGCCCTGTATAACCTTTTGATTAACTAAAATTCAGTATGTTTTTGTGTGAATGATACTGTGTCCAAACAAAATAATTTACCAACCTCACATAATTATTTATGGTTATATAAACTGTGTTTGTCATATTTATACTTTGTCAATAATGTAAGTAGGGTTGATTTTTCAAATTCATACGAAATTTAAATATAAATTAAAATTACAGTATATTTTCCATGATATTAGTATTTGTTCTATTAAGTTTTTAAGTTGGACTGATGAAAACACAGGATGACACAACACCAAATATTTTTTATGTAATACTAAGTTAGTTTACTCGATTGAACATTTAATTCTAATGCCGATACAGTAGACTCCCTCTTATCCGGACACCTTTTAACCGGACATCGGTTTAACCGGACTACACTCGGTGGCAATGACATATCTTTAACCGGACAATTTTTATCAGCACATCGGTTTAACCGGACTAGATTTGCAGGAAGTAAATCTACTGTTCTCGTGGGAAAGATTTGAGACAAGTGATCATGTGTCTAAATACAATGTTCTCCTAAATTTAAATCAAATACTGTATACAGTATGCATTTAAATGGTCCGTTTTAACGAGTTTTTGGGGACGTCGGTTTAACCGGAAAAACCGTTATCCGGACTGGCCTCGGTCCCGAGGAGTCCGGATAAGAGGGAGTCTACTGTAACAATAATTGACAAATGACAATTGTTTATGTTGAGTTTACAAGGAGAGTGAAGTTAAAATTAACAGCAATTCTTTTGTGAGGATATGGTATTTGCCAGTTTAAGGTTAGCCAAATTAGAGTTCAAGTTTGTTGTCCTGATCCTTAGAATTGTTTTCAATTCAGAGCTTCACTTAGCTTGGGAGATCTGTATCACTAGGCACATTTCATTTATTGTAAGCTAATTTTATTTATTGGGAAAAACGTGGAAAGTGTGAGAGAGGTGTACGACACGTATTTAAGCAGGGTATCCAGCCAACCAAGGCAGCAAGAATTGTTCTTGAATTCGGTATTGATGGGCCAAGGACTAAAATGATCTCCAAGGCTCAATTCATTGATGGCGTTCCGATGGATTTCATTTACAGTAACATCATAAGTAAATCATGAAACGATCACTTGAGATATCACGGAAATTTTACTGATACGGGAAAAGATGTTCACAGTGCAGTCGCGATCGCAGTATCGTCGTGACCGCAAAATATGGAACCCCTGGTCTAGGTAGTATTAGGTCGTATTGCAACATCATAGTATTAATAATGACAGCATATAATCAATTAGTTTTCTAGATTTATCATGGAATGTACTATTTTCTTGTAGTAGAGAGTAATAGTTGGGTAAACCGATTGCTTTTTTGTTTTTTTTTTTTATTGGTGTCATTACATATATTTCTGTTCAGTTTGAGTTAGAACAACTATTTCTAAGTTTTATAGGTTTTCCATATAAGCCTTGGAAAGACTTACCAAATATGACTAGAACTGGTCTATCTTAAGAAAGGAAAACTCTAGGAACTTGTAGAAACTGGCATACAATGAAGTTCGCTAATCCTTGCACGAAGATAACTAGGACGGATTGATATGAAATTGAGTGTTTGAAACTTTTTTGTTCGTTCACTATCCTGTACAATTTTTAACTTCAAATATAACAAACAGAAATTTAACACGGGAATACGAGATAGTAGCAGTTTTAGGATAATAGTATAACACAATTAATACAAGTGCGTCGTGCATGAATAAAAATACATGAAACACTTACCTCCGAACGAGAATAGTCGTAGGGAGGCGAATATGGCGTTATGGTACTGATAGACGAGGGTGAAGTGTATGAGGTGACACTATATGCAGATTCTGGAGAAATAAGAAACGATGGATCCAAAGGAGAATAGAAGTTAGATGGCGATGTAACACTTGGATGCGATGTAACACTTGGATTCGATGATCTCGGAGACGACAGGGTTCTCGGAGGTATCGGAGCATTCTGATGAAACGGAGGCGTCGGAGGCATCGGTATATTTCTAATTTCCTCCGGAGAAAGAACGTTTACAACTGGAGTATTCGGAGTTCTAGGTGTGCTGCCTAAACTCGACATTAAAAGTTGTCTTAGAGGTGTTCTTGGTGGTGTTCTTAGGAGTGATCTTGGTGATGCACTTGGAGGGGCTCTTGGAGATGTTCCTGGAAGAGATTTTGGTGATTCAGATCTTGGTGGAGAGGTTGATCTATAAAAAAAAAACATGATTATTAGTTAAAAATAAAAAACAAACATTTCTCAGATTTAATTCTCAAATGAGGAACCAAAACAATCTTATTCATGCAAGAGTCTCAGAACAAAGGTCTGCGGGTTTCCAAAAGTTTAATTTCACTATGCTTAGTGGCTCTTAGGCGACCGGCTTCGGGATTAAAATCCCATCATCAGGCGGTTAAAAAATGTCAATATCACTCAAATTGAGGTCGTCGATAATCACAAAGACAGGTCATAAAACACGAAACACGAAAACACGGATTGACAATATGTACAAAGATACTGGCCAGTAACGGACACTACGACGCGGCACGGGAAGATGCTAGAAAGTTTAAAGCCGGGAATAAAGTTAGCTCGAGAAATCGGTTTGGAAAGAAACTAGATTTTAGGCCCAACTCAGGCATTTACATTGGATGAATGAGACAGGCATGATTTTGGAGCGATCTTATCACGGTCGCAAAAGTGTCGGTGGAGATTGTGTGTGATTGAGTTTATGGGAGACGATGATGATTTCACCGCAACCGTAGGACACCTCATGTTTTTTCAGCGACCACAGGAGATGTTCACAATTTTACAAAGATCCCGAAAGACTCAATTTCTAAATTCATGTTTTCAGCCCCTGGACTATATTGTTAAGACAATAATAGGTTTTATAGATGATATTGCTCAACAGCTTAGATGTTACATGTCTTACATGAGTCTGCTACCAACCCCGCGCCACGCCGGACCAAATCAATATTATGATAGCGCTATCTAAATGTCCATCGTGTATTCATACCATATTAATGTTTTCTGTGTTTTAAATGTGTTTTTGACCAGTTACAAGCTTTGAAAATGTTGTCTTCGCAACAAAAATGTAAGCCGTTGAGCAATATCATTTATTGGACTATTTGACTGAGGTATGTAAAAAACCTATTATTGTCTTAGACTCAATTTCACCACGAGCGCTCGAGACATTTGTTTAGGTTGAAATAACGAACACCAGCTCCTAGTATTGTTTTTCAAATCTGTACGGCCATCTTTAAACTTCCTTAGCTACTGTACAAATTTTCTATGTCAAAACACTTCTTAGCGTACACACATGTCAACTGGCAACAGTAATCAACAGGGATTAAAACCCTTATAATAAAAACCTAATCACAGAACATGGTTTATACTTGGCGGGAGCATCAAATTCCTTTGCAAAGGTTTTTGAATGTTCAGATAAAAGATGTTTTGACTTATGATCCCATAAGGTTGGCTAGAATAGTAGTGGATATAGCAAGAAAAAACAGGTTGGTCTGAAATTTCAACTGACTTGCTTGTATGAGACAGGAGCTCGGTGCAGACCTTAATTTACAGACAACCCTTTAATAAACTATGTTTAAGCCGCTATATTAGACCTTCAAGAACAAACAGTTTAGAGCAAAAGTAAAAAAGCCTGCACATACCTTAATCATGCAATGGGTTGAGTGAATAAAAATTAGTAAAGAGTTTACTTGTCTCAAATTTTCATAATTTGACTATTTACTTGAGCAGAAGTGAATAAGCAGGAGTTCACTTGTAGGCCTACTTGTTGGTAAAGCCTGTTAAAGGAAGTATACCCTCTGAAACCTATAAATTTATCAGTAAACAATACTTGTTTGAGTTTACTTGTTGAAAAATGCATGTAATTAATTTAGTATTGTCATAGTGCAATAAAAGTATTTATATACAATGTATTACTCAAGTGATTTTTGCAAAATTAGTGGCAAAGTTGTAAGCAAAATTTTAGAAAAAAGTACAACCTTGATGCAAGAGTCCATCACAAAAACATAAATTCTGTGAAAGATAAATTTTTCTACAATAATAGGTTTGTTACATATCTCCGTCAAATAGTCCAACGATTAATCTTCTGTCGGATTTATAGACCAACCAATTTGATGACATGGGTTTGAAAATGGGTCATTTCTGACCCGAAACTAGTCACTATGTCCATGACTATATTAAGGACTGGAGACGGAATAAAAAGGTACGTAACCTATCATCATATCATTCGTACATCAGTCCTGGTGGCAATAATGTTCAAAAAATATTGCTCATCAGCTTACATGTTTCGTTGCAAAGACAACATTTTCAAAAATTGCAACTCGTCAAAAACACATTTTAAAAACGGACGACACGAACACAAAAACATTAAAATGGTATGAATACACAATAAACATTTAGATAGCGCTATCATAATACTGATTTGGTCCGGCGCGGCGCGGGGTTGGTAGCAGACTGGAGGTCTATGTCACGTCGTCTCCTCTACTATTAATCACTGGTGTTATCAGATCTTCGATCAGCTGTTCTTGAAATTATGATTGTGTTGAAAATCGAGCGAGACCGAAATGTAATTGTTCTTTAAGGATGTGGTTCTTACACTGTTCGTCATTATAAATCTCGAACTCCTCCAAGGTGTCAAGTTTGATACCTCCCACAGACATGTTAAATTTCTAAACCTAGTCCATGGGCCAGAAACATGAATTTTGAGATAAATTATGTTCTTTAATTTTAATTTTTATTGAATGTATTGTATCATTGCGGTATTCCTACGTTGTTAAAGACACGTAAAAATCCACACGTCTCAATAATGTAAAAACCTCACATTTTGCGTGTCAATTAAAAAACAATTATTGTAGGTACCTTAAATAATTTCAAAATGGAAAGCTTGTACATCAAGGTAGGTTAATTTATTTTTGTTTGCCTCAAAATAGCTTACAAAACGGCCCCCGGACCCCCCCCCCTCTCCCAAAAGGTCTAGGACCGCCCTTTTAATGAACGTATAACTTCTGTTATAACTGTTAGTCTCATACGGACTACAGCTGTGCTGTTTACAAATTTGTGAACACATACCACGTAACAGCACATGGGGAAACCCGTTATGACTTTAAAGTTTTTTGTATAAATTTGTTTTTAAGTAATAAGCTGAAAGTATTTTCTCGTATAAAGTTTCCTTTGAAAGTAGTAAATACTTGTTTTTATTCACTAAGCCCATCTGTCCAGTTACCAAGAACCTCTAGGTTTAGATAGGGTTACTCTGAACCTTAGGTATCATCAAATGATAATACTCTCCAGTAGGGATGATATCTAGGGGGCCATACACATATTACGTAACACATTTAAGGGGGGGAGGGAGTATGACATAGCGTTACATGGGGGAGGGGGGTTTGGCTCAACACATTCTTCTATAAAAATGCAAAAATAATCAAAATGATATCTAAATCAGTTAGTTATTAAAAATATACATCCTCATATCTTTTTATTCAACATTATTAGGAACAATCTTGTTTGTTTGTATCAATTATTGCTTTTATTATAAAAATATGACTAAACAAAAGGAATTAAAAGTTTAATGATTTATTTAAATCGATATTCCTCTAAAATTATGCTTGAGCTGTTATTAAAGTCTACTGCGATCGAGTTACATAATACAAGGGGGGTGGGGTGGGGTCAAGCATTACAGAGCGTTACATGGGGGAGGGGGTTTAAAATTATGAAAAAGTGTGGTACGTAATATGTGTGGCCCCTAGGTGTTAGTTTAAAGGCTGAGACAGAAATATATGCAGATGTTGGTTTATGAAGAAATTTCCAAATTGCTTACATTTCAGAGTCGGTACTGGTTGCGGATTTGCTCCAAATATAACTGCCGTCTGAGTCGCTGTCTGAGTCGCTATCTGAGGTGTTCTCTTCAATATTTTCTTTAACAGGTTCTGTGGTATTTGCTGTAGTAAGATGTCTGCCAATTAATAACCCATGTCGTCTTCTGCTTTCTTCAATTTCCCCTTCAGTACTTTCTCGAATAAGTTTGGAACTTTTTTCAATTCTTGATCTGATAAGCGCATCAAGTTCGGCTGAAGTATACTCATTAACACGTTTTCTTTTTTTATTATTATTGACATTCACTTGTGCATTTTCTCCACTTGCTTGTGCATTTTTTCCACTTACTCCAGCAATGTCTTCATTGTTTTCTGGTGCATTTTCCCCTTCTCGTTCCCCTTTTGCTTCTCTTTCCTGTTTCTTTCTTTCAGCCTCTTTTTCTTCCCGTTGACTTTCCCTTTCCCTTCTTCTCCTCCTCCTAATTCTTCTTCTCTCTCTTTTCTCTTCTCTTTTCTCTTCTCTTTTTTTGACTATATCTTGAAGATATACACTTTCTTTGATTCTGTCTCCGAGATAGACGTCTGGATCTGAAATCATAGATGACCATAAAATGCGTACTCTCTAATAAACAAACGCATAGGTTTCATTGAGGGTACCGATGATTATTTTTTTTTACAACAGGTAACACTGTCAGGGTGTATAGTAGGACCTGTAGATTTTTTTATAGGCCTACCTCCTATTAATTTTTTCTCATTAATATAGTACCGGCTTAGAAGTATCGTCAACATATGCTACTATTGCCATATTTAGATATTTATATAAAGCTATAGAGATATAACTGATCTAAAAATTGGTACTTAACATTAAAAAAAACCCCTTTTTATGCTTAAATTAACAATGCCAACAAATGTTTAGGTATTTTTATTAAATTTTCTCTCCCCCTCAAAACAAAAAACAAAAAAAAACTACATACCATTTAAGTTTTGTATACATGGTCAATAAATATGATTGATCATGTCCAGTAGCCTGTTGATATTTTTTTATATACAGTACTGGTACCTTGTACTAAATTTTGGTAGACTTTGATCCGTAAAAAAAATGAACATTTAAAGTTAAATTTAAATGTTGTCCACTGCCTCAAAAGTGGGGCATTTAGGTGCAACCTTTGTAGGAAGGCGGTAAAGTAGTTGGAGGACAGGACTTTGAATGTGAAGGCTCACATTCAAATCTCAAGAATCACCAACGGTTCTTAGCTGTGATATCACCTAACAAGGTGGTATGGCCCACTCTAACACAGTCGCTGCGGCTGGGACTCTAGTGACGCATGGCGTACCGTGGTACAAGGTGACTTAGTCACCGGGTACACAGCGTGCAATGCAGTGTTCGCCCAGTCAGTGTGGCTCAGGCTCTCGCCGAGGACATTATTTGATTTGTCAGACTGAGATATTTTAAAGCCAATTGCCCGGCATTTGGGTTCGTTTGACACTGCGACGCACCGGTACTGTTAATGACGAGCCGCAGCAAATGTGTTAAGTTGCAAGTCTAAACTAAGGAAACAAAAGATAATTACATAGAAGGAAGTTCTACTCAAAGCCATGAGATCATTCTATTTTTATAAGCTAGGAAATATAATTGTTTGTAGTCATTCACCTCGTAGCAAGAGTTTCAAAGTGGAATACGTCATCAAGCAACGAGATTATACGGCATGTCAAAGATAAGATTTAACATATATAGTTTGGTAGAGAAACCAGTGCTTTAGTCTATTTAAATGATTCTCTTTAACGTAATGCTCTTTTCAAGAAGACAGCTATTACCGTTGTCAGTAGAGTCCAAAAGGGGGGTGTCCAATTGCCGTTGAAGTAGGCGAGTTTCCTGCGTTAAACTACGAACTCTAGTGAGCAACTCTTCATAGCTGGAGACTGGCAACGTCATCCCCTCTCATCTAAAACCCCACTACATTAGATAGGTTGGAAAAACAAGGAGTAAATGGGACTGAGGAGCTGATGGTACGGGATAGGTCAGTAAACCATCCAGGATATGAAAAGAGGATTACGTAGGAAGGAACAATAGACCAAGAATGATGGAGGAGGATTACAAGGAAAAGTACCATAGGCTATCAAGGATATGGTAAGAGGATTACAAGGAATAGTACGATAGGCGATCAAGGATATGGGAACAAGGATATGGGTTGTTACATGGAATGGAACAATAGATCATCAAGGATACAAATGAAGATAAACTTAATGTAGTAATTAAACCGTCAGAAATCCAAGGATGGCTATAACTAAAAACAAAAAAAACAAAGCAGCAGGAATAAAGAAAGGGGATTGTACTGAATACAACAACTCAACCATAAGGATAGGAAGGGGAGTACACTTGATCAAAAGAAAAACCAACACAAATTTAGTAAGAGGATTAAAGCAAATTTAATAATTTTTGTCAGCCAGGGTATAAGGATGGCCATTACTAAAATTGAAAGATTTCAGCAAAAATAATAGGAAAAATAATGCATATAACAGAATTAAATACCCCCGCCGCAGCAAACCTGCAGACTAAGCAAATTTCAACTTGTCTGATTACATTTTTACTAAAATATTTCCATAAATAAGACATATTTATTCCCAATTTAAATAACATTAGATTTAACGAGTCCTTAGGTTTGCTGCCATGGGGAAGGTAAAAAGTGTTTTTTAACCATATGTCAATAGCATAGGATGAAATAGTCTAAATTTGCCAAATTTGATTGACATGTACCCATAAACAAGTAAACTACAACAGTTTTAATTTTCTCCAGAAGAATAACATGGGAACTTTAAATTACACTTTTTTAGAATCTCCCCTGTGACCGTTAGGTATACAACAGCGCTTCAATATACTAAATTATTTATTTTTTTAAGCTCTACATAATGGTTTAGAGAGAAATTGCAATTTTTTTGGATTATAAATTAATTATTGTGTAGGCAGAGTATTACATCTAATGTAAACAGCTGTCACTCTTATTTAAAACAACACAAGAAGAAAGTCATTTTAGGAGATAATTTAAGGTAAATAATATGTAGGCTACAAAAGGTATGTTTTATAAAATTAATTAGCCTTAAAAATGATGCAGTATGACAAAAAATTAACGTCATCTCACAGACAAAAAGTGGTTATTAAAATTAAGGGTTGGCCCAGAAAAAAAAACAATTTCTAATAATGATAAAAGATGTTTTATATTAATGTGCATGTGTTCAAATTTGATTGACATCCCAACATAATACAAATCAAGTTAAAAAATGTATTCCGATTAATTGTGAAGATAAAAAATAGCAATAGGTAAATGCTAAAATAAAAACAGGCACTTTTACACTTTTCATTCAAAAATTAATTAATTTGTACTTCTAGTTTTGGCTATAAAATTTACATCCATGCTTAAATTATTTAAATTTAATCATATTCTATTTTTACGATAAATCAATTTAAAAGCCTAACAGCCCATATTACAGTTGCTGTAGGCTAATTTAATTTTGTAATTCATTGGTTAACTAGAAAGGCGAAGAATAAAAAAATCAGATCAAATGTATAGCGACTAACTCAAGAAAGGGATTCTGGGTGACTTGATTTCTCTCGGCCATTCAAGGTCATCTTAGAACAGATCAACCTTCTCTAACCCAGATTTCTCTTCAATTGCATTGTGTGAACAGCTGACGACAGACCATCTTTAAACTTACGAAGCAAACTTAATTCCACTTCATAAAAAATCTGGTTGTTTTAGGTTCATACTTAACATTGCTACAGTAAAACTGCTCACTGGTCTTAGGCCTGTGGCTAAAAGGGTGTGTATATGTAAAAACTATAGGATCTTTTAAAAACAGTTTACTAAAAAATCAGTAGTGAGGAAATGTAAAGAGTAATGTATTTAATAAGTAAACAATTTGTGAATTATTTTCTTAGTAAAATACTTTGCCTACTTGTTCTATTGCATTACATACGCCATTTCATAAATGGTTAGAAATGTTGATGCTTGATTTATAAGCATTGCAAATGTCTTTGGCCGAAAAATTTAAGTAATATTTACAATTAATGTAATTTTTACTCTGTGAAATTTATACTTGCCATTGATATTAGAATTCCCAATGCCATTTTATGGCTTAATTATTCTATATCCTTAAAATAATGGTCTGTGAATACGATAACTCAAAGCAATTTTGGTCCAATTTTTATGAAATTTGGAATTAATGTTTAGAGCTCCATAAAATTTATTGAGTAATGGGAATAGGGTTTTAAGGTGTTTTGAAAATGTTTTGAAAATAGGTGTTTTTTAATTTTACTGTTAAAAGATTTTAATGCCTAATGTTTTGATAACCATTGTGTACAGCTTAAAAAAACAATTTTGTGTATTAAAGCATTGTTGCAAGATTTAAGGTTATGGAGATAATTTTAAAAAAATTCTTAGATTCAAAATTCCCATATTATAGGCCTACTTATGGGGGAAAAGAAAACTGTTAGTTTGAGTTTATGGATGTATTTTTATCAAATTTGGCAAATTTATTTATTTAATCCTATATTATAAACATTTATAAAAAAAAGCTTTTCCCTTTACTGCAGCAAACCTGCACTTGTTAAATCCAATGTTATTTAAAGGGAATAAATCTGACATAAGACAAGTTTATGGAAATATTTCAGTAAAAATCCAATCTGGCAAATGGAAATTCACTTGGTCTGCAGGTTTGCTGCGGTGGGGGTGTGGTTTATAGCACGCTAAGACTTCTAACCACGCTAACATTTATGTCTTATCTATTGTTTAGCTTAGGACCTACAAATTGGAGTGAGATTATATAGGCCTTAAGTTATTTTACAGTTTAATTGATGCAACCCATTGAACCTATTGCACGACCTTTAAAGTGTTGGCATTAAGGTATCTTAAGGTCACATCTGCAATCTAGTAGGTTACTTTGTTTATTTACAAACCCCATTCAAACAAAAAATATATTTTTATTAATCAAAGTACACACCAAATTAAACGGTAGAATCACATTAGAAAAATGTCGTGAATTATCATCAGTATGATTATATTTCAAGTTCGAATTGAGCAGTTGAAAATATCGATGCTGAAACAACTAGTGACTCATACGTCAACCACGTGCCATTATACGCAAATTTTGAATTTTAAATAAGTTTTCGTAATAAATTTGCCAGTGGGGGAATGACTTTTAGTGACTAGTCCAATTTTTTTGCCTGATGCCAGATGGTCAAAAAGTATTGAGTCGTTTGTCTATGACAGTGGCAATACATAGATTGTGTTTCTGTTGTAAAAAAAAGTAAAAGTGTAATAGCCTACATGAATATCTTGAGTTTGGACACCAGGATTGGACTAGCCTACATGCTTTTTGAATGTTTTTAAGCACCATCATCAGGTGGCATAAAAATTAATCAGCACATTACTAGGACAGTTAGGTCCGCTTGTACAGGGAGCGGCAAAATGATCTGACGGTTTTCTTTGCCTCCCTGTTGAGCGAGAGAGTGGTGGAGGGTGGTGGGAATAGGGGTGTTACAAATCCAACGTGCAGACATTTTTAGTAACCATGGAGTTGTGGACGGCAAAGCACCATGTATTTGTAGTGGAAGTGTTTTCAAAAGTGGCGATTCCTGTGTACCTGTTCAGCAGACGATTCAATGTGGGTCAAAGGAAGAAAAGTCCCAACTCAAAACACCATTTTGCTGTGGTCGGGTAACTTTAGAACTACTGGTTCAGCTTTGAAACTAAAATCAACAGGCGATCCGGGGTCAGCCTGGACGCCAGAGAATGTAAAGAGAGTGAAGAAAAGACTGTGTGGTGTAGTTGAAAGTGTGATTCGTCGCTCATAATGACAATTTGGCACGTGTAAGCAAACCGACCACTTGTTCTGAAAATGAGATGTGCCTTGCATAACCAATGGGCTTCAACTGTTGCATGATTGCCATTTTGTATGCATGAAAGTGCAGGTCCACCAAGCAGCCAGATATGTGCAGGCAGAGCTGCAGCTTATTTACGTGCTGGCCGCCGAGGACTAGCTTCCACAGCTTCTCTCCACTCTCTCGACGTTCACTGGTGTCCGGGCTGATCTTAGCCTGTTGACTTTTTTCAATGCTGAACTAGTAGTTCTGAAGTTACCAACCCACGGCAAAATGGTATTAGGAATATTCACCTTGGATCCACATTGAAACACATACGGAACTGCTACTGAACAGCTACACAGTAAGTGCCACTTTAAATAAACACTTCCACAAATGCACGGTGCTCTGCCATCCACAGCTGCATGGCTACTAAAAATGTCCCAACATTGTCTTTGGAACGCCCCAATTTCCACCACCCTCCTACACTCACTCGCTCAACTGGGCGGCAAAGAATACTGTCAGATCATTTTGCCGCTCCCTGTATATTATCCTTTAATGACGTTACCAGTTATACGTAGGTGAATCAGGGCAGTCCTCGGGGAAGAGATTTAAAAAGCACATTCCAAAAACTAACAAAAATTAAAAAAAAATTATGAATATCTGGTAGGCCTAGTAAACAACCAGAATTACATAAATACAGAAAACAACTTAAAGCCATTACATTTTTGTAATAAAAGTAAAATTATGACAGCTTTGGAACTGTTAAGCCTTGTTCGTAAGACGCGTGGTAGGGTGAAACTGTTTATCTCCTTAATCAGTCAACGGATTTCGAGCCATCTGAATTTGCAAACCTGACTGTCCTCAAAGCGCCGTGGGTTGTGGATTTCACGAGCTACTGATGGGCCAGAGAGAAAGGCCAAGTGATTAAGGACTGGTAGTTCATGATGGTAAAATGCGAAGGCAACACAGAGAGCTTGGGATTTTTAACTTGTGGGACGAAGTGGGTAGATTCTTACAACAACATCCGAGAAAGGTAAGTAACGAACCAATTAATATTTATAGCTTTCTATTCAAAACTTGCAGTATTTAGGTTATCTTTATACAATTGCATAGGATAAAATCTGATAATGCCAATAAATAGTGACGACTTGTGAACATGGTTTTAAAATAATACGGTTAACAAAAAACTTAAACATTAGGGTACGGTACCCTATTTGATTCAAACTTTTTGTAGCCAGTTTTAAAACTCTATTTGTCCACGGAACTGAACAGGCTGTGAGAACAGTGCATTGAGCCGGCCCAAACCTTGAACCAATATGAACCACAGGCCATGAAACTAACACATGACAGGACTTTGATATTCCATGAATTTACCGACTTCAGTCGGAAAGGACCGGGCCTTAACTCAAACTACCTACTGTGCGAATCACTGACAAGCAGTTCTCACGACACGTTTCACTACAAGCCACTGATTAAAGTCACAAGTGAATTCGATGAACGAGGCTTTAGAAAATGCAAAAAGCCACCAAGACCAGTTTTCGGTATGTTAAACAATAAACGTACCCTTCATGCGAATGCCATAATAAAGCTCCTAAATATATTATCAAGTCCATCATCATTATCAATTTACGTTAACGTATGATTACAACAGTTAATCTATATTTAAACAGTTTTGGACGGTAATAGCCTCGATTATCAGTACATATAGACATCCCATTAACATGTTAAGTTGGTAACTGTTTTAGAATAAGAATCAAAATTATGGTAGGCCTAGTCAAGTTGAGTCATCGAAAGTGAGAGAGTGTTACTGATGTGAATTACTTATTTCTGTCGAATAGGCTAACTTTTAAACCAAGTCAAACTAAAAAGACAACTTATTGTTAACCTATTGTTAACAAATTATATGACACATAACTTATAACAGTGTAACAAAAATTGCTGTGGAAAAAGAATTTTTACAACAGTACAATTTGTGAGTTTGTCTTATATGGTGATGTCCTATTTGAGTAAAAAATTGGCTACAGCTGGTGCCAGATGTGATGGGTAGCCTACCTCTTACTATACAAGGTCTATGGTACAGTAATTTAGCTTACCAAAAAGAAGGTATAATTATTATTATATACTGGTTAATTAAATACTGGTTGTTAAATTTATTTGAAAAAATTTAGAAAATAATAGGAGCTTCTAAAAGGGCGAAGGGAAAGATAGCAGTTTCTTAAAAATCAAGTTGTGTTGCTAATCAACAACATCAAATAGCCACTAAGCCTAACCATGATTTCTATTAAAAGGTTTAAAACCTTACTACGGTATTTTAATGTTCAGTTCATTGGGTTGTGAGCTTGTTATTCCCGCATGTCTCCATAGACATGCAAATTCTATAAAAGGTAGCACGTCCAAGTAGGCCTACTTATAAAGCACCAACTATGCTAGTGAAAAGGTATTTTGTCTAAGACATTCATACTGCCCTGTCTGCCAAAAACAGAATGTGCTAGGGTGTATAAAATTAAAATTTTCAACCTTGTTTTTTGTTGCTGACCAAGTTGATGAGTCATTACAGTTGCTATACCTCACAATAAGTCATTCCATTAGTTTGAGTTGGTAAAAAGTTAGTGTACGGTAGCCTATTTGACAGAAATTAATAATTTAGATCAACACAATCTGTCAGTGGCTTACATCAACTACAATTTTAATTTAAAAGGTGGCGACAACTTTAAAATGGGGATAGATTGTCTAGGCCTACTGTAATTGGTTGTATCAATAGTCAAAGGTACCACTACGACAGTTTATCTTGGTTATATTGTATGGACTACAGCCTAGGCTATGACTATATTGTTAGAACTTGACATTCCATCCCCATGTTAAAAGTTTTTACATGTATAAGCTGTCCATCAATGTCACTGTTTACCTACAACAAATTGGTAACATATGTACGACAGTTTATCTTGGTAGTATTTTATGGACTACAACCTAGGCTATGACTATTGTTAGAACTTGACATTCCATGCCCATGTTAAAAGTTTTTACATGTACAACAGTTATTATAAGCTGTCCATCAATGTCACTGTTTACCTACAACAAATTGGTAACATATGTACGACAGTTTATCTTGGTAGTATTTTATGGACTACAACCTAGGCTATGACTATTGTTAGAACTTGACATTCCATGCCCATGTTAAAAGTTGTCACTAGTTTTTATAATCAAATAAACGTAACTTAGTTGAGTTGAGCCATCAACAAAGTGAGCTGATATTACTGATTTCTGTGGAATAAGTATACACTTTTCAAGAAAGTAAAATGGATAACTTAGGACAACTTCATTTTAACCATATGTAAGTTAGCATCTTTTATGTCCTCATAAACTATCTCAGTAAGTTCTACCTTACAAAAATAAGGCAGAAAATATAAATTTAGACTGTAGGCAAGTACCATGCATTCTGTGAATGGATGAATTTAATAATTTACAAATAGGCTAGGCGATAACTGGTCCCCATAGATGTGACGTCTACTCCGGTGCCCAAAAGTCAATACTACAAAACTGTAGGTTAAGAGGGGCCAGATTAAATACATTAGCCTAACTCAAAAATCACAAGGCTGCGGGAAAACTGTCTGTTTAGGTGTACTATGCCTAAAACCCCTTCTCTGTTCCATACAATAGGCCTATTGATAATGGAAGAAGGCTGACCATTAGGCTAATTAATATTTTGCAAGCTGTGCACAAGCTACCAAACATTCTAGACAGTAATGATAATATGCGAATAAGCTAACTCAAGACATCCCAAGTTAGAATTAAAACCACTAGGGATTGAAGGAACCAGCTATGTTTTGATTTTAAAATTACTTTAATAGCCTATTTGTAATCAATAAAACTATATACGGGTACTAGGCCTAGGTAGGCCCATATCGATTTAGTATCTGAGGTTATGTGTGATGGACGGTGTTTTTAGAAAACAAATAAACATAACCTAGGTCCAAACTCAAGTAGCATAAGTCCACTGTGATAAGGGAAAACGAAAAAGGGTAAGGGTTTAGCCTACTAGATAATGTAAACATATTATTCCATCTAGGTAAACGAAAACAGTGCATTACCAACTTACTGTAGTGGGATCCTGTTTATTGATTTTCAAGCGACAGTAAAATGACAAGTCGTTTGCCTAACAATATATCAGGTAAACCAAAAACTCACCAAGAAATTCCAATTGTAATTACGTCAAGGCACAAAAAATACGAACAATAAAAACAATATTATCCGGTATTAAGTTAACGCTTTCTTAAAACAAAATCATAACGCCATAGATGAAGGATGAAGTTGAAGTTTCTCACTCCCGCTGCGATTGGTTGTTCATTCGGTCGGTACAGTTCAGTTCAGTCCATTTCTAATTCTAACTACAAATCCAAAACAGCTGTTATGTAAAAAAGCTCAAGCAGTTTTGAGGGCAAAAAAACCCTAGTAATTTCATGAAGACACCATATACATGTAAACGAGTAAACAAGAGGGGAGATTGACATTGGGTTGGCGTGAACTTTCTTTATAATTTAATTGATTTAAATCCACGGTCAGTACTTACTGTTTTGACTGAAAGCAAAATATTTGGGCATTGGTTATAGTTTAGCATTACGATACTACTGCACTCTATGAAGTGAATTGTGTGCCGTAAATTTGGACTGTATGAAAATCGCAGTATGTACAACAACTACATAACACGGCCGTCTTATGAGAGGAGAATGATATTTACTTTATCAGTCAAGCGGCATCGGCGAGACTTTGACTTTATGGGCCCACGGACAGTGATTCCGGCGACCCTGGTGTAAGACGCCATCCATATATTACTTAACGATCAAGGAGGGGGAGGGGTTCAGCTTAACGTTACACAGCGTTAACGTGAAGGGAGGAGATGGGTTTTTATATCATTACGGTAACCAACAAATAATTTTTATCCGAATTATCAAAATTAATGAACATTTTTTGTTCAAATATAATATCAGTTTCAATTTTATTGTTTATTTTTTGTCTGGAACTTAGCCTATTCTAGTTCCAAAACGTCTAACCAACTCTATTCTGTGGTCCTCCAGTCATGGCTGACGTCGCCCAGATTGCAAACAGAAAATCACCTGATTGTAAGTGTCATTCCATAAGTATATGTTTGTTTTGATGATTTTATTGTTAATGTTTTATTTTTTTCTAAATAGTGACATGGCGCTATAAATCTGGGGGACGTCAGCATATTACGGGAATATCACAACTAATGTTTTTTCATCCACCTTGGTCATATAGAACATAAAAGAATAAATTTCTTCCTACGTTCAGTACGATGGCAAATAGGATCTGAATTTTGTACAGAAATTATAGAGTAAAAAGACACGTAACAGGGGAGGAGGAAGGTAGTTTAAAATGACAAAGAACGCGTTACGTTATAATATAACGTATAAAATAATATATCTTGGGTATCGGTAATTTAGGGGATATCGGTATCCACATATTATGTGGATACCGATATCCCCTAAATTTTTCCAAGATAAAATGTAAGTTACCCTTTGTAGATTTCTCATAAGTCACAAGTCCTTTATCCAGCCAAATGAACAACGAATGCATTAGCTACGTCAACATCATAAGTTACATGAACTAAAACATATCTTAGCTACATTAAAACTCTCAACTACTAACTACTGTACTACTACTACTGTAGTTACACTACCAGTTCTAGGGCAAAGGTCTGAATAGGGTACATTTCCTTAAGGATCAGCTGAAGACAATTGTATTGTTAGTTCTGTCTGGTGCACTGTTGGGGTCATATTTAGTTTACCATTTTTTCTTGTTATTTCAGTAATTTAAAACCTTGTTTTAATAAGCAATAACTCATTCCCTAGATATTCAACCAAACTTTAAAGCACAAATCATTAAATTGGCCATAAAATCAACGAAATTTCGTAGACACTAGCAATCAGTGTCGCCAACGTGAAGAAGACATGAAAAACGAGCTTCGCAATTTACAATGGGAGTAGTGCAACATTAAAAATACTGCAAACACATTATCTGGCCTCTATTAATTGGGAATTTTTTTTAGGTCTATTGATTTTATGTATATTGTTGGTTGTCAAGGTATAAGGTCTGTAGTTGTTGTTCAAACAATTGAGTTTGAGCCTCATTCACGTAAATAAAATAAATTTATCTAGTTATTTGGTTACTGTAGTGTTAAAATTAGTCAAATACCAATAAGCAAATGTCAAGCAACATAACACCTATTACATAAACCGTGCGAAACTAAAATTGCATCCAATTCATCCATAAGGATGATAAAAATGTAGTTTAGTTGGACCAGGTCTACCCACTGATTTATGTATAGGTATCAATTGTTCATACATATAAGCTACTGTGTTGGTACCACTGCTATGCCATTTCGTCTGCCTCTGTTCTCCGCTCTGTTCTGCTGTCTGCAACGGTGCAACCGCAACCGCAACGCAAACGCAACAAACAACGCAACACTACACTCAACAACACAAGACAAGGCCCCTAGCACAAGTTTGAGTTTGAAAAATTATTAGCATAACCTCTAATTTTTTATTTGATTTTGTTTGGTTATGTAAACACAATAACCATTATGATATGTAATTTACGCTGCAGACCTAGTGTATTCATTGCTTATAATAAATCATAAAATATAATACATATAAAGTGCAAACAAGTAAAAAAAAAATGTTTAGCATTTGATTCATAATCTTGCTTATGCTAGATACTGATACTCTTTCTACAATAACCTTATTTTTTTCTGAGTAATGACTTAGGTTTCTTATACTAAATAGAAAATTGCCAGAGCCACATAATTACAAATAATATGCCCTTTAGTGTTTTCAATTCATTGAATTATATGACTCTTTAATGCATTTGGTGCACTCTTTACTGTATTTGGAGATAGTGGGCCTAAGAAGCAGATTCCTAATGTACGGGGCTTTCTGTAGAACTTAAAAAATTATATGAAATCCATACTCATTTCATTATTTAAAACTTTTGCATTACCTTGTGTCACTAAGTGTTTGTACCCTAAAATAAATAAATAACAACCAACCTATACCAGATGATAAGGCACTCTAGGTGATAATATACCTTCAGTAGTTGAAAAAAAACGCAAAGATATTACCTGATGGTAATGTCACTGGTATTGTACCTTACCGTAATATGATCCCACCACTTAAGACTGGCACACGGCATTGAGTGCAACTAATAATTTGTCTTTTATTCTGTTTTAAATCACCTTAAGATGTCTTAGGACGTTACTTGAAAGCCTTGGACGACATTTGCTGAAGAGCCAATGAGGTAGTCTTGTTTAGAAGCGTACAAACAGTGAGGGATCTTGGGTTTAATTTGTTGGTGTTTAACTACTAACCCTCGAGCAGACGCTTGCACAGTTTTCCTCCACACTTGTAGTTTTTGTTGATATACCCATTATGCATAATGGGTGTCGGCAGTCGTCCGGCTCCATACTTCACGCACCTCATCCCGGGAATGCCCCTAAGTTATTTTTACCCCCGAATTTCTCCTTATTTTGTTGTCAGTTGCAATTCAGTGAGGCGGTGCCAGTTTGCGGAGGTTTTCTCCACGTGCGCCCTATCGCGTGGCGTAGCGTTTATTTTCTCATGCGCTCTTGTTAAACTGTGTGTATATACAAAAATAAAACCTGTTTAAATGTATTGTTTCTTTATAATTATTATCGAATTTATTTTGTTTGCATGTATATGTATAATTGCATCATTGCGGAACAAAACTCTGCACGCCCCCCTCTTGTAACACCCACAGTGATACCTTTATACTAGAAAATTGCTCAATATGTTTATTTGAAATATTACTCATATGAATTGAAAAGAATAATACTAATAACAAAGAAATTAGGTTTCTGATTTGGTTATTCAACATATGCATACAATATTTCGTTAAAACAACAAGTAAAATGGGTAGAATTTGTGCTATTTATTGTTGCGGAATAAAACTCTGCATACGCTCGCTCCTGTTTAACTAGTGAAGCGCCTCCTCGAGGGTTAAATTAAATTTGTCAGACCATCGTCAGCAGTAAAAAAATGTCCAAGACAATTAATTAATCATATTGTTCAGTTCGATGATGTGTGTGCCTGGCCCTCTCTAACTGTGGTAGGCCTACGTATTAACTGATGATTGTACACATTAGTTGAGGATTCATAGGAAGGTACTGTAGGTAAATTCTTTACAACAGGTTTTTACTTCCATATTCTGATTTATTTCCAAAACCAAACAAACGTTCAAACAACTTATCCTCCCCCTTCTAGCAGCGGAGGGAGATCGAGAGTCCTGTCTCGGTTAGGTGTAGTGTTCACCACAGCTTAGTTAGGGAGGCCCACCTAAAATAAGCATTTGACAACTCAGCTAGAAATTTTATTTTTAATTTACCGTGATTTGTGTGAGCCACCGTTCTTGCAGAAGATATTCCACTAGTCTGTGATATATTTCACCACAGATTGTAGAAAACTCAGAGGTTTAACATCTTTTTAAGCTATTATTACACTTTCTAAACTGAGTGTACACTCAGTACTGGTACCGCATTTCCCATTAGGCCCACTAGGCCAAGGCCTAGAGCGCCAAATTTTGGGGGCGCAGAATTTTAACCTCTTGAATGAATCCCACGAACGCGACCGGCAGCCCTGTTAGTGCTACAAGCCCATCGATGCGTGGGCGCATCCGAGTGTAGTTTGAATTTGCTGCGCTTAGTAAGCAAATCGAAGAAGGAAAAAGGTTGCCTTGTTTGGTATTGCCGTGTTGGGAATAACCTGCTCTTTCGCGTGGGATATTTTGTTTTGCTGTAGTCCCAACAACATCCATGCAGCGACTGCCAAAAGTCAGATGTGTAATTCACTCCTGTTTACTAAACCCGATTGCCCTGGTTGTGTCGTTCCATGCTTTGTTAGTAAACAATGTCGAATCGTTCTGGTATTTCGCTTAAGAGACCATGAAATAGGTGAATATTTAGATAACGACAATTTGAGTGATGTTTCGGGACATGAATGTTGTCCATCATAAATATATTTTGTGTTATTGTGTATTATTCTAGGATTGATTCAAGTTATTTTACACACCATCCAAATAAAATTTTGACAATATCAACAATTATTATTTATTTAAAACTGTCTCTATCTCAATCCAGTAAAAAATGGCAGCCAATTGAAATTCTAAAAAGTGAAATTTAACTTGCAACTTCCCAAGTCTGGAGACCCACTGTAAATTTTGTAACAGCTCCCATTAGGAAAACTAAACTCTACACACCTTTATATCATGTTATGAAGTACTTTTTGAGCCCAAT